CCAGCCTATCGTCAGCCCGACAGGACTTTCCGACTCGCATCAAACACTCTGCCTAGCCACTGCTTCCCGGAAGTTGGCTCAGGAGTCGAGAACGTAAGAGAGATTTGCCGACGTGCTTGCGGATTTTATAGTTGCGACAAGGGAGACAGAAGGGGGGGAAAGTGAAGGGAAGGTTGAGGTGTAAGAGGAGAAGAAGGAGGAGAAGACTTTGAGAGGAGCGCTCTGTGGAAGCCATGTTGATCCCTCGGGACTCAAGGTTCAATCAATCAGATCCATCGCGCAATAGGAAGATCCTATTGATCCACGTACCTGATTGGCGAGCGGGAGTTATCGAAGGATCGACCGGGCGTCGTGCGCTGGTGAGAAGAGAAAAGGCGCGAGAAGTAGCGCAAGACGGGTCCAAGATTCAAATGATCAAGAAAGGGAAATGAGCGCGCAAAGAGCAGAGCGGGAGAGAGAGAGAGAAAAACAGTTACGAGGGGAGAGAAAGAGGAGGGGGAAGGAAAAAAGGAGCGCGGGAGAGAGTGATGCGGGGGACGGAGAGGAGAAAGCTTCGCATGCGCGGCGTCGTCAACAAAAAGAGGGAAAAAAAAGACCCCGAAACAGTTACAACTTGCCTATGTCCTAAACCAATTCAAAATTGAAATCACCATATCCGCGCGCAAAAGAGCGACGCGGGAAAAGAAAGTCCTACGCCTATTCCTATCCCCACAAAATTCCGAGAGTTTTCCCCAACGCGACCGAGAACATTCACACACAAAAAAGGACATGTCGAAGTTCCGCTCATGCCGGAATTCCCAACCGCTGGTCCCAATTCCCAGTGCGCTCGCTAAGGCGCTCGCAAATTCCTATGTATTTCCCGAATTGCAAAAAGAAAAAGCAGAACCCGGGAATCGTAAAAGCTTCCGAAAGATGGGGCCCAAAAACGCAGCACCCGAAATCAAGAAAACGAAACAGGGTTTTCATGGGGTTGGTATGATGCAAGCAAAAAAGAGGGGTACGTATGGGTAGATATGGGACGCTGGACCCGGTTTCCAGCACAAGCCATAAGCTGGATAATGGCCCCAACTCCCAGTTGTTTGTGAGGTATTCCCGGCCTCATTTCTCCTTAGCAATGAATGATTACTTTTTCCAAAAAAAAAAGAAGAAGGGTGTTGCAGGCTGTGAACTATCCTCCGGAGGAGAGTCCGTTTGGAGAAGGCTTTCTTACAACTCACTGAGGAGTCTGAGGTTTCTTCCCCGTCTACTCCGAGAGTAGTGCAGCGAAACCCATCATTTCCTCATCGACTCGAAGAGTAGTGCAGCGAGACCCATCATTTCCTTGTCGACTCGGAGAGTAGTGCAGTGAGACCCATCATTTCCTCGTCTACTCGGAGAGTAGCGCAGGGAGACCCATTTGCAGCCAGGAGGCTGGGCTTATCGTTTCTGGTTGGGTTTTGCCTGGTTGGGCAGCTTTCCGATGGAGAATGTCGTTGTCAAGGACTGGGGGTACGAGGAAAGGTTAGGTAGCAGGCGTGCCTAATACCAGTAGGCCAAAGGGTCGTGGCAGGGCTTGGAGTGGCGCGGGCGACCTGTGGAAGGTATTGGAGGATGTTCGCAGCCAAAGGCTGCGTCTTACCCCGTTGCACTTTGTCGTGTAGCGGGGCGTCCTTTTGTGGAAATGTCCACGAGTCCTAACGGGGTTTATGGGGCGTCAACAAGGTGCACGGTCGGGGGCAGGGCACAGACCGGTCGCCGAAACGGGCGGCTCAGAGGTTGGAGAGCAGGCGACCAACGGCAGGTTGCATAGGTTGTTGTTTGGCCGTGGTGGGTGTCGCCTGGCCTTTCCTTTTTGGGGTGGACGTTTTTTTTTTTTTTTCGTTTCAGCCTTTGTTTTTGAGTAGGCGTTTTTTTTGGGGGGTTCTTTGGGGGCAGGGGGGGTCTTATAAGTGATGGAAGGGACGGCCAAACAAACGCTGTCGCTCCACCACCACCGACTGTGCAAAGTGAGTGATTCTTCCGGCTAGAACATGGAAGTATACAGCGCCATAGTTTTTGTCTTTTGTGCATGTGCTGAGTAGTGCAGCCAGGCCCAAAGGTAAGGTTCAGGGCATCCCATAACCATTCTCAAAAATTTGCCAAATGGGAATGAACTTCCGCTAGAACATGGCCAGATGCACCAGCCACATTTTTTGTCCTTTTGTTTAGAGAGTGGTGTGGCGAGGCCCAGAGTCCACGCCGGTAGATCTATGGCGGTGGAGGAGGGAGGAGTGAGAAAAGTGTCACCTCGCCTGTCCTGCTCCTCGCTCCTGATTGGCTGCGCTTCGGCGGCCTGCGCCGTGCACACTGGCTCCGAGTTTGGCATTTTACCTTTTTTTTTTTTTTTTTTTTTTTTTTTGCGCAGAACTTTGCTTGGTATTAAAATGCCATGAATAGAGGCCGGGGACCTCACAATTCAATCCGGTTTGCTGGAAAGCAGGTCCAGCGTCCTGTCTTGAGTAGCAAAGCTGGAAAACAGGTCCAGCGTCCTGTCTTGAGTAGCAAAACTGGAAAACAGGTCCAGTGTCCTCAGAAACGATGTAGAGAACAGGCTGGAAACCAGGTCCAGCGTCCTTTCCAGCAGAAGTAGCTCTAGCAAATTATAGCAAACACTGCATATGAAAGAGAAAATGCCTATCCCTGTATGTCGCCGAAACTAGAAAGACTTGGTTTCTGTATCCCTGTATAGCAAACACAGAACAGAAGGTACCCCTCTATAGACTATCCCTGGTCTATCCTTAATCCAAGGGCTTGGTTTCTGTATGTCGCCGAAACTAGAAAGACTTATCTTTTCAAGTAACAGGTTGTTCGTCCCACAACAGTCAGGAGAAATAGATTTGACCCCACTCCAAGGACCCTGCCCATCTGAAGGGATGTTCCCACACCCCTTTGGGAAGGGTGCGGGTGGGGTTAGCAGGGCTCGGAGGAAGGAACGGGCTCACACCTGGCCGTTCACACCAGCACGCTTTTATTTTTCACTCAAACTTAAATTTCTGGACGGATTTGCGGCCAGATGCGTACAGGTCCGGCCGTGAATGTGGTCGGCTATCCAAGGCGTTCGGTTGTGAAGTCGGTAGGGAGCGCGCGATCGCCCCCGACGCAAGCACTGGACTGGATCTTGGATGGAATTGCGGCCAGATGCATACAAGTCCGCGGTCAGATATACTCGATGCGGTGAGGAGGCAGAACCTCTCGATGGAAGGCCAGGTCTCACCGGCAAAGAGGAATGGAAATATATATAAGCATCTGAATCTTTACACGTTTGTGGCCCCGTCACCCTCGAGGCTGCGCCTCCACGACTTGCGTAGTATGTGAAGTCATTTCCTCGTCGACTGGGAGAGGAGTGCAGCGTGTGAATTGTCGACAGTTCTATGAGACGGAATGAGTGTGCGTCACCGGTCTACGAAACTCTACAATATCTTATTGTAAGTGGGCTCCCGGTCTTCGCCGAATCTTCTGCCTCCTCCCTCCCTCCTTCCCTCCCTCCCTCTCTCCCTTCCGTCCTCTCTCTCTCTCTTTTCCTTGGCTTCCTGTCTCACTCCAACCCCTTTTCCCGTTTCTGCTTTTCTGTCTGTCTGTTGCTCTGGTCCGCATCTCCATTGTCGATTCGTTATGTGTGTGTGGCGTACGGAGGACAGCTTTTCCCTCCCCTTCCTCTATCTTTCTGCCTCTTCTTAGCGGTTTCTTTTATCCCGTCGAGGTCTGACTCGCCAACTCGTTCAACCGAGATTGGCCGTCCCTCGTCGCCTCCTACTTGCTTGTTTTCTCGTTTTTCTCTAATTCCAGTCGCCTCCTGGTTTCCGTTTCACCGCTCTCATCTTACGAAAGTCCCGCATTTCTGAACGGATCGCGACAGATGCACGACGCGCTCCGTCGACTAGGCCTGCAGTGCAGTCTGATAGATACGAGGCCCAGTACTTTGCGAAAGTTTGGATCATATGAGGCGGTGTTGATTGTGGAGCGGAATACTTTTTTTTTTTTTTTTTTTTTTTTTTAACGAGCGTAATACTATGTACTACTTGCAATCGGCAAGGAAGTTTAAACGTAGAACATCCAGAGTATGCAAACACGATTTCGATTTCGCTCAAGTAAATATATGCGTGCAAGCAGGCTCAGCGCTTAATGACTGACTGCTTTCTTTCTTCTTCTTTTCTTGTAGAAAGAGGTTATGGGATCTCTTGATTTCAGTGGATGTAGGATCCAGGTTTTGAGGTTCTCGGAGGTAGCCTCGTGCCCTAGTATCTATTCAGCCGGGCGGCAGTCCGGTTGCTTATCACTGGCAAGTATGACAAAGGTGAAGGAAAGAAGAAAGTAAAAATTGATGAAAAACCTTCAGAGAGTGGCACCTCGCCCGCTAGATGTCGACGATCTGTCGATGCTGATTCGCAGGATCGCCGGGCAATCGCAAACGGAGGAGTCGATACCGCTCAGACAGAAATTAAGGACCTAAATGGGTCGATTCTTTGTTTTTCTCAATGACGGACGATATCGCTACGACAACTCTATAGGTTAACGAGCACCCCCTTTTTTTTTCAGTTTTTTGGGTAACCGCCATAACACTGAAGGCGGGTTTTTTTAAGTGAAAAGAGTTCTTTGGGGTACTTGTTTAAATATTATTTCTTTCTTTCTTTCTTTCTCTTTGTCTGCTGTTCTTTGGGCGTTTGCTCCATTGAGGCTTTACTGAATAGAGGTCTTTGGGCTGCTTGTTATTTTTGGGCTGAGCTTTATTCAAGAGAGGTCCTTGGGCTGCTTGTTCTGGCCGTTTTTGTTTCTTCTCCCCTCCCCCCCTCCCCCCCTCTCCCCCTCCCCCCTTCTGACTGCAATGTCTTTTGGGTGTTTGCTCTGTTGATGGGTGGCGAGTTCGTTGAACCGTTTGTCGTGGATCTGTTAGAAATTTAAGCTCCAAAACGATCGCAATTCCAGGTTAGGCTAAATTTTTCGCTACGAGAAATACTCGAAGAGTGGCGAGAAGAGGCATGAAACTGTACTGGTAGCGTGTAGATTATCTTTGTGTTTGTGTGTGTATGAGAGAGAGAGAGAGAGAGAGAGAGAGAGAGAGAGAGAGAGAGAGAGAGATGGTATACAGAATATCTGAAGATATGAAGAAACGTTTGGCGAGATACTCCTCGCTGGAGACGGGAGAGAGCATGGTAGGGTATGTGGTCCTAACGTTCTTGACTCTGGATCTGGGTGCTTTCGCCTCGTGTATGAGCAAGAAGATCATGGGAACTTGCTTAGCACTGTCGTTCGTGGCGGCGTTTTCGAAAGTAATGGCATTCATGGACACCTCGTTTTTCAACGGTAGGTCGTGCGCGCAGGTTGCCTCTACTTTGCCGCTTAGATTCCAGGTAGGCGGCTTACGTATTATGAATGACGAGATTCTCGTCACTCTGACTTTGAATGATATTCAGGTCGCAGTCCGCCTGCTGGCCATGGGTACGCAACTAGGTCTCGGGGCCGTCCTTTACTTGTCTATCTCTGACGTCGGGCAGGAAGCCGACTGGGAGAAGCAGCGCCTCAAAGAGTTGCTCTGGGCCACATGTATCTCAGTCTTCATTCATTCATGGTTATCTTGCGCGTTACTCTTTTTCGCGGTCGGTTGCTTTCTGTATCACCGATTGGTTGATCTAGTTGGTGCTTGTACCAACCTCCTTTACACTGGACGGTTTGAGCAAAGAGCAATCAGGAGAATATCACCTTATGGTGGCGGACCTCTGATCGAGCGCCTTAGCGTAATGCTGAGAATGGACGCGATTGCGAGGATGTGGCAGTCCCACCATCGCCGTCACTTGGGCTTCTCTGTTGTGGATGCCCAAACGAATAGGGACTCGTGCGGTCTGCAAGGCTATTGGTTCTACAGCATGAAGGAACTGGTTCAGATTGTCAGGAAGCAACTTGATGACCTGTCGGATGACGTTTCCAGCGACCCGGACGAGTATTCACACTTACATGAAGGTCAAGGCACAATGAAAATGGCCCTCGCGTCGCTCCTTGAGCTTTCGAAGAAGAGGGATCCGCACCAAAACTGTCGTTACAGTCGCAAATCAGGTGAGATGGGTAGACATATGCAGGATCTGCCCCTGCTAGGTCGTTGCCATAACGATGTCGACGCAGGGCGAGATTTCGCGCGAGCAGAAGGATATCTCCTCATGCTGCAAGTGGTCCAATGCTGCCCTCGCAACGGCCCGGAAGTTCAGCTGGCTGCAAGGATACTGTCGGGTTTTGCATGGGGTCTGTCTGTCCTGCCGTGGCAACACGACAGGGAACCGGATGACAAAGACTTCATTTTGAACATGCTGTGCGACGGTGATTTTTGCTACTGTACCAAGGAACTCCTTGACGAACTGTTAGGATTGCTCGGTCGCCGTGCCCCGAGGACGGGGGGCAATGTATCGCCTTGTAGCGGCCAAGACATTCGTTCGTTCCAAGAAGCCACGATCTCCGCTCTCTGCTCTTTCGCACACGCTGCAAGCGATGTGCACGCGCAGGCCATGCACGGCGAACGCTGCAAGCAGGATGCAAGCACCGCCAACCATCAGTCCGACGGGTCTGATTGCACAATTACAGTGTGCAATGCATTCACCACATGGTGCCCGTTTGGCTGGCTTCTGGAGAAACAGATGCCTGACTTTGGACCGGCGGACAATACGTGGGTGAAAGCGGTGACCTCTGTCCTTGACAATCAAGCAGCGGTGGACATCTTGCTCAGCTACGCAACGAACGAGCTCAACGTGTCACGGAGGGTCGTTGGGGACGCTATCAGGACCTTGTCGTCTCTCTGGTCGTGCCAGGTGATATATTGGCACCGTTTCGACAAAAGGATGCCGAGGGATTTCCCTCCTCCGTTGGCTGACATCAGCAAACTGCCAAAACACGAGGAGGTACGGTCGAAGCTCGAGTCGCTGGTCCGCGAGAGCGCCGCGGACGGATCACCCGTATCCCCTTTTGTGAAGCTGCATCTGGCGAAGATCCTTATCTCGCAGGAAATCAGAGGCCGGCAAATTGACCTTGACATCACCGACCTCCTCCTGCATTGCCTCCGGTACTGGAGGCAAGCGGTTGGCAACCCACTGCTCGACTGTTTCGCTTGCGAAGTCATGGAAACGCTGTTGGACGTTTTGGTGACTTCGGCAGACAGTGAACACAAACTGGCCATCATAGGGAGAATGGAGGGATCCCCAGGTGGCGTGGACTGTCTCAAACTCATGACGCTGACCACTGTGGCTCCCATTCGTGCCGTCCGTCTGCAGCAGAACAACTTCGATAGCCTCTTGTCTGAGTACTTGTCGAAAGAGAAAGTGAACGACTGGTGTGGCGACTGGAAAGAGGACTACGTCACTGACTGTGCAGGAACCGCGGCCGGGCTTCTCGCGTATTGCTTATCCGTGGAAAACGGGCCGAACTTCATCACAGCTCATGATGATAAGTTCTTGAAGATTGCAGTGGCGCATGCAACCGTCGACAGCCAAGCGCGCATTGAAAAACCCTTCGTCAAGAGCGTTTTAGGACGATTCAAAAGGGCGTTCAACAATGGTCTTGGTCCTCTGTGGTTCTTCGTTCCGTTAGGTCATCCGGCGTGGCAACCGTTGCAAGATTGGCATGAGGACATCCACGAATCTCACAGGGAAGATTCTCAGAATGTGTGGCTGGAGGCACTGAACAGAGACGTGCTTGCACTCGTTCATAGGAGGAACGTTGCCAAACTAATTGCCGTGGTTCTGGGAAGATCTTTCGGGGCCCCGCATCTGTCTCCTGTTCTAGACAAGCTGCGTGAACGCCGTGAAGTGCCCTCTCTCATCCTACCGACGCCGCGCGGACTCCAAGAGTTCAAAATGCGTTGTCAACAGGAAACAGAGGCTCAGATTCAAAAGATTTGAGCGTTGGCGACTAAGTCTTCGAGTAGTAGGTGCGAAAACAGAGAAAAAAAGGGGGGGGAAAAAAAAAAAAAAAAAAAAAAAGAAGGAAAGAAAGAAAAGAAAAAAGGGTAGGATATGCAAAGGCGGTATCCCGAAACTGTACCGGATGGTTGGCAATGCAATAGGGGATGCAAGTAGCTGATGTTGATAAGGGACTAAGAATGATGTCGATTCTGAGGTGGTTATCCACGGGTGGACATATGCAATTACTGCTGCAGGTTTTTTTTCCGTTTAGGGTTTGGAAGGGCAACGGCCGTGCAATCTCATCACTCAAGTGTTCAGCCCCAGGTAATTCAGAAGTATGTTGTTCTATTCATCTGGTTGCACCTAGATTCGAACGCTGGCCAGTTCGTGGCTGTACCAACTGAGCTGGGCCCGTCAATTACTGCTGCAGAATTTTGTCTTAGTCTGCGTACTGTGTTTTGATCTGTTTTCAACCTTTTGTCTGAAGTTTTTACATTTATTTATTTTTTATTCCGGCTAAGTCATCACCCGCGGAATTATGTATACTAAATTATTATGTATACTTTAACCAGTTGCAGTCGTTTTTCTCGTGAACTTGAAGTTTCAAGAGTGCATCATAGCGCATGAACTCTTGATGCAGGATGCCGGAATACTACAGGACTCAAGTGAGTCATCGCCGCACTAACTATAGAAACGTGCTCTTAATTTCTTTTTCAAGAGGTGTCAGAACGCACCTTGAAAAGAACGCTTCAAGCTTCTGGATTGCCCGCCTGCAAGGCGTTCGTTCTTTTCCAATGGTCGTCGCTGGGAGCCTGGGAGCCTTCAAGAGCTCTGCTCGGTGGCTGGGACCCATCAAGAGCTCTGCTTGGCGGCTGGGACCCCTCAAGAGCTCTGCTTTTTTGAGAGTAGGTCTGTAGTCTCGGCGGTCAAACCAGATTTGCGTTTTTTTTTGGGGGGGGGGGGAAGGACAAACCAGATTGGTGCAGTCCGGCAGTGCTATCGGGCGTTCAAGAGTGGGGCTGTCAACAGTAAGTGCAGTGCAGCAACGATGGCGCTATCGGGCATTTCAAGAGTCTGATAAGACTCTTGAAGGGCGCTTGAACTTTTCCAAGTTTACTGCAGCGAGGCCCTATGAAGAAGTTTTGTGCTAGTGCACATTGCACTATGTCCTTGTTTCTAGTTTTCGAAGGGCCATGTCTTCTGTTAGGCAACGGATTTATGCAAAATGACAGAACTAGGCCCCTCGGCTCTTACTCCTAGCACTCAACCAGGTGCAAGCTGCGCACGGAGCCTAACACTAAAATGCCGGTACATGTTTAGTGGTCTATATGCAGCAGAATGTTCCCAACGTGGTGTATCTGCGGCAGAATGCCAGCCTCGTCTATTTCTGTATGTCCCGATCTTGGAAGTTCATTGTTGTTCTCAATGTTCTGCGTGTTTATTCGTGACCTCCATATGGCCGTGGATCGGACCTCCCTGGAATATGGCAGCGTTGGTAAAATCGTAGCAAAAACTTGTCCGTTAGCAAGCTAAGAAGCGTAGAAGTCCCGTGACTCCGTGAGCCGGCGTGAGGGCAATATTTGACGCAGAGGATACGGGAACGACAGCGAAGACACGAATGTCAGTAGGGACCTTCGTCCAACCTAGGTCCAGGTCCTGGCTGCATGCAGTTAGAGATAACGGACATGGGTTCCGGCTTCTACCAGGGGCACAACGCAAAGGGCGGCAGAAAGGGCCTCTGGGCGTGGTACCAGGGGTACAATGCAAAGGCTGGCAGAAAGGGAGTCTCAGCCCCGTCTGAGCTTGGTACCAGGGGCAGAATACACAGGGCGGCAGAAAGGGCGTTTGAGGTATCTGGCCGTGGACCCCAAGCCAAAGGCATATAAGAAGGGGTGTCCAAACTGCGATTTCGTAAAAAGGGACATTTTATATTTGTGAAACCCAATTAAAAATCCATTATTTAGCCAAGAATTCATGGAATAAGGGGTATCTGGACTTCGACAAGTCCACATACATCCAAGGGGTCCCGTGTTTTTTGGCCTGGATGTTATTATGACTTGAGTTAAGTCCGGATACGTCGAGGGGGTAGGGCGTTTTCGGAACGCCGTACACCCTACTTTATGAATTCTTGGCCAAAGTATGGATTTTCAATTCGGGTAAAAAAATATGAAATGTCGGTTTTGACGAAAAATCGCATTTTCCATAGCTCCAGCTTTTGGAAACACTGTGGATTTGCGCTCCATGAGCCTGCATCTTATGTGTTTGTCTTCAGAGAGAGTGCACTTTCCCTATCTGCTGCCAGTGCTGGGCACAAGGGTTTTCACAACTTTTCAGGCCTGTTCACCTCCGTACTCACCAATGTTGATAGGGGAGACCTTGGAGAGTGGTTTTCTTGATGTCTCTGAATAGTAGTTTCAAGGTTGTTGGTCCTTTCCTGATGAGACCTGAAGTTTAATGTAAAGCTTATAATGAACTTGAGGAATACATGTTGGGAGGAAGGGTTGCAACTTGCAAGCGATGGGTTGCATTTATGTATTAATTGATCTTGAGCCTGAAGCTTTCTTCTGCTTTTCTTTCAGCTTCATTCCTTGAATTATGTCGTATGAACGCATCTTCCCTCTCAAGAGTCCATTTCTTGAACGTGAGTTTCATAATGTTTATGAACGCATCTTCCCTCTCAAGAGTCCATTTCTTGAACCTGAGTTTCATAATGTTTAAAACAGTGCCGTAGCCCTGTTCACCATTCACGCCCTCGGTGAACGTGGGCCAGTCACCGGTCACGAAAAATGTGACCGGTGGGAGTTCAGGGAGTTCATGCAGAGCGGGAACTCCGTTTTTTGTTTTTCTTTTCGGCTGGTAGGAGGGGGGGGGGTTTGCACAGGTGTGCGGTTTGTGTCAACAGGCACCTGCCCATATTTTTTTATTTTTTTTAACGATCGGAATTTATTTTTTTATTTTTTTGAAACAAAAAAATTGATTTCTCCTGTGTTAGGCGAGGCATTTGTAGGCCGTGTGGGGCATTCTGAGGGTGTTTTGGGCCCTAAAAATAATAATAATAAAAAATGATGACACTGCCGGCACCACACCATACCACCAAAAACAAAAACACAGTCGGAACTGGTTTCGCGAGAGGTGGGTTGACCCTTTGCCAGGTGCAGGTGACCCCTCCGTTTCGTAGAGAGAGAGAGAGAGAGCTGTCTCTTATACACATCTAGATGTGTATAAGAGACAGGGTCATGGCCGGCGGTTGGGATCTTGAACTGCAATCCGAGTTTGAACCCGTGGTTATCATTGCGGGGGATTCATAGATTTCCTCACCATTATCAGGTTCGTCAAATTTTTTTCTCCTGGCTTTTCCTCTTGTTCCTCTTCCTCTTTGCTAAATTTCATTTGACTCCTTGTCAGCTTCTAGTCCTTCAACATCGCCTCCCATGATGGTACCAACTTTGGCTTTGGTTAGCGACTATAGCCTTTTTAATTCTCTCGTTGGCTTTTTCTCTTCTCCTTTTCCTTAACTTTTCTGCCTCCAAAACCTTTCGTTTCCCCTTTCCCTTACTCTTCCCATGACAATCTCTAACGCCTAAGACCTTTTTTCATTTGGTTCTGTCAACTTGAAGATTGTTTTAGCTCTTCTCTTTTTCATAAATCAACGATCTCAAGAGTTATAGGCATGCTGAAGACCCTTCTTCAACTTTTTTCTTCCCTTTCGTCGTCGTTAAGTTCAGACGAGGCTCATGTATTTTCCCCTCCCGTTCTCTACAGACTCTTAGACGTGCGCCAGAAACAGGCTCCTTCCACCTAGCTTCATGTAGTTCGTCAATAATGTAGGCTTCTCCTTCTAACCTCTTAATCACGAGGTAAGGCCTCAATTATCAATTTGCCAGCTTCCCTAGAGCCGAGTTGTAGAGTATAACTATCTGAAGGATATGCCTTATAGTCTAGCACGTTGTTTTTTATCCCATCTTGCCTTTTCCTTTTCCCTAAAGCCTGAAACAGATCCTACAGGTCGATCGAGTACTCACGTGCTCGTTGTGGGTGAACCGTGAAGCATGTCGTCGTCCCGGACGAGCCCTCCACCGGGAGAATGACACGTCACTTCGCATGTGTGGATCCAAGATTTTTTTTTTGCCCCCTTTTTTTCGTATCGATGCAGGATTTTTTTTTTTTTTTTTTTTTTTTTTTTTTTCCTTTTTTTTTTTTTTTTTTTTTTTTTTTTTTTTTTTTTTTTTTTTTTTTTTTTGTATGGATCCAGGATTTTGAGCAGTTGATGGGTTCATCGTAGTTTAATAGAATTTCGAGATGTTACCTATCGAAGAGGATTGAGGTGATACGTTAAGTTTGCAACTTTCTCGTTTCCTTTTGCATTCACCCCTTCCTCTCATTTTTCTTGACCCACCTTGGTCCCACCTTTTGTATACGGGACTCTGTTTCTTGATAGTCTCTCCCGATGGGCATTAGCTTGTTGAGTGCAGGAGAGATAGTGATTTGTGCAACGAGACACTTTTTTACCCAGTTACTTCCCTCATTAGCTTCGGGTCCTATCAGGTCCCATCATGGTCTGGGTGATGATTCACGTGCTCAACATGAAGTAGAGCACAGGAAGAAGATTAACGAGAAGTCGAAGAAGAAGATTCACGACCAAGGAGCTCGCTGTGGAAAAGGGGAGGCAACTTCGAGAGTATGAAGAAGTCTGACGCGGAATCCAAGAAGAAGATTCACGACAAAGGAGCTCGCTACGGTGCCTTCACTCTCAGGAGCGCTGGGCTCCTCGATCGCCCCCCCCACTCTTTGTTGTTGTACATCTTCTTGATTCTCTTTCTTTCTTTCTTCTTCTTTTTCTTCTTTTTCTTTTTCTTCTTCTTCTTCTTCTTCTTTCTTTCCTCTTCTTCTTCTTTATCTTCTTCTTCTTCTTCTTCTTCTTCTAGCGTGTTCTCTTCTAGAGTTTTTACGATATGTTTGATTCAAGCTTCTAATAATTGTCCTTGAGTGGACACAGAGTCTTAGTCGATCTTCATCCATAGTTCAGTATGA